TGCACATATCCAAAAACTTTATGGTATGGAAATAAGGCGACAAGTCTCCAAACATGCAGACTTCTAATCATTCTGTTCCTGTGCTGGTGCTTCTTTTCCCCAATGCAGAAATATGCAGAACTGTACGGTTTCCTTTCAAACTATTCCCTCCAGACTTCATAAAAGACCTCTATTTCTTTGGAAACACAGTTGTAGAAAAAAGACCCGCCACAGTCATATTTCAGGAGAGTAACTGGTTTGTTCTCATTTTGTTGTAGGATATGCCATATTATCGCTCCCAATTTAAGAAATGTGCTGTAGTTGGGAATGGAGGGATTCTGAAGAACAGCAGATGTGGACGGGAGATCAACAGTGCAGATTTTGTATTTCGGTAATCTTTCCTATGCAGCAATTTTAGCATTTTATGATACTAAATGGAGGATCATGTAGCTCATTTTTCTGACCTAGTAGTACAGGAGTTGCCAGGCTTGATCAAAACAATATTTCACCTAATGTTCTACCCTGTCTCTGTCAGTGGCCAGAACGATATGGTTCAGAAGAAAAAAACTTGCCTAATAGACAACTGTGAAATAACATACTTGTCTGGTTGTTTTTTGCCTAGCAAGATGCGACTAGTAATTGGCTGATGTCCTGAAGGTTGATATCCCTATATATTTTTCTCTTCACTGTTGTAATTGGGGAGGAGTCTGAATTCCACAGTTCAGTTTGTGTGTTGGAAAAGGTATCGGATATTTCTTAATACATACATTAGGTCAGATTCTGAACTTGGTATAAATCCAGACTAATTACAACTAAAGTCAATAAGTTATACCGAGTTTAAACTGGTGAAAATAAGAGCAGAATAATTATTTCACTTGGTCAAATGATGAATAGAAGCACCTTATTGATATTTCTTTACTGTTCAACACCTTTGTTACTTTCTCCAAGCAAAACAGTTGCAATGTTTTTAACCCCATCCCTCAGTTGGAAGACCCTGTGTACCTGTAATTAATATCTGTGGTGTTTCAGACTTCTTTCCACTTTTGGTATATCCTTCTAGAAATAGGATGGCCATAACAGAATACATGTAGATGCCCACCTACTTATACTGCTCAACATTGTTCCTAGCACTGGTTGAAGCAAGTACTGGATCTATAGAGGAACAGCTATGAGGTGGAGAACTGGAGTAACTTTAGTGAGTGGATAATAGGGCTGCGTCAAGCTTCGGGTGCTGATTCAATTCGGAGGAGATTCGGCCCGATTTGGCGGCTGAATCTCCGAATCCAAATTGAATCGTGAGACCAATAAAAAGGTCCAAATCAATTCAAAGCTCCCCAAATCTATTTAGAAAAGATTCAGAGAGCTTCAGAGATTCGGGCATTCCCCACTCGCCACCACAGGGAACTGGACTTGGACTCCATGCTGGTAAGAAGGGGGTGGTGTGGGGGGGGGT